AACTAGCTCAGATTCAACCTGTATTTCAAAAGCTTCTTTACAGGCATTAGGGGCACTCCCAGCATTTAAAGTGCATTTTAATTAAGCCATTTAGACAAACCTCCAAGTTGGTCACACTCTCCCCTCCCTGAGGACACAGGCCACCACCTACTAATTTAACTGCCTGAAATCTGTTGCTGTGGAGAAGCACGGACCTGTACTCGGAAAGTACTGAAGGTCTTTTCAGAGCTGCTAACCAGAATGACAGAAGCAACAAAGCCTATCTGCAATGCTTTGCAGGGACAGCTGCAGATTAGAAAAGAACACAAAAGTAATGAAAACTTATCGCAGAACAATTTACGCTGGAAGGGAACTCAAGGCCTCTAGTTCCAGTCCTTGCTCAAAACAAGGCTAATTGCAGTTGAATACTGAACAAGAACAGAGGTCCCTCCATCTCTCTCAGCACACATTCCAGAGTCTGACCTTCCTCATGGTGATGACTTTTTTTTCTTTATATCCAGCTGGAGGGTCCTTTGGTGAAGCTGGCACCTGTTTTGTCTCATGCTTTTGCTGTGCCCTTACAAGAAGCACCCAGCTTCACCTTTTCTATGACTCCCACCCACCAGGCAGCTGAAACCAGCAGTTAGGTCTGCCCCTTAGTCTTCTCTTCTCCGGGCTACAAACCCAGCTCCCTCAGCCCCTCCTCCCACACCACGTGCTGCAGGCCACGATCCTGCTCAGCGGCCTTCTGCTGGACCGGCTCCTGTTTGTCCGTCTGCCTGTACTGCAAAGCCCCACGCTGGATACAGCGCTCCAGACGCAGCCTCACAGCCGCCAAGCAGATGCAAACCATCACGTTCCTCAACCCGCTCTTACTAGGGGAGTCCAGTGCGTTGTCACCCTTCACTACAAGGACACACTGCTGACTCGCCTGCCAGCACGTGCAGAGATGCAAGTACCGTGCTTCCCTCCAGCACGTGCCGGGGCGGCTCAAGTCCTCCAAGAGAGCCAGGGCTCTCCTGGAGCCATGTTCCTTCCTGTTGTCTCAAGGCGGCTTTGTCCACTTCTTCATCTTGACAGGGCAGGCGTGCTGCAGATGCTCACTGTAACGCCCCCCGCCTTGCTGTCCCTTAATCCTGACCCATAAGCTCTTGAGAGGCCCGCTGGCCCCTCTGCAGCGGAGCTCTGCGCGTTCAGGCCATACCTCCACAGAAGCGCAACCCCGCCATCTTCCCCGCCCAGCCTTCGTGAAGAGCGTGCACTACAGCACTCCCGCTGCTTGATCTCATTTCTGCGATCCGAGGGAGATCACAGGCCCGCAAGGCACACGGACTTCTCATTTCCCCTGGCCGTTTCTCACCCATGCTGTGTATTCGTCCGCACCTGAGATGAGCCCCCAGGCACACGGCTTCTGAGCTATCCCATATGCATTACCCCACTCTGTCCCTCCATTTATCTGCTAGAGAAAGCGTATGTTAGGTTAAATTATTACTAAATAAAGCCCTGTGAAGGCACTCAAGCCTGCCTACACTAGCTAGCAACAAGTTGCTTTTCTTTTCGTTTTTAAACAAGCTGCTACGTCAATTGTCATTCAAGACTGATTCATGAGAATGTTCTACAAACTTGGAAATTCTACCCTGCTAGCCATTGATTCACCTCAAGTTTCCTAAATCTATTACTTTCTGACTCTGCTAGAGAGAGGATTGGTTTCTACAATTTGGCCCCCAATACAGCACAGTATTTAGGAACACAAGAGAAAAGCTCAAAACAGGCTTGAATCAGAACAAGTGATGTTAGCGTACAGCCTGTAACTCCTCTGGAACTGAGACTCCTGCACCTTTTCTACTACTGGACAGAGACGTGTAAGAGGTTTGGCCACAGTATGTTCGGAGGACTAAAAAGGTCAGCTGGAATCTTACATTTGTTCTGTGCACAAATGTCAGATAGACTTCCCCCCCCAAATATAGAAAAAAATTAAATATATTCAGCACAAGTTCCCTTCTTGGGCATAACAGAACAAGCACTATTTTCATTCTGCCACATTTCTCAGACTTTCCAGTATCTGAAAAGTAAACATTACATACTGAAGTTACTTGCTGTGTTACAATCAATTGTGTTACGCAATTAATGTATGTATTTGCACTTCCTTTCTCTGCAACTACATTTTAATTTTAGAAATATGCTGACTATAAGGCAAGGAGCAAGAACCTCATGTACTTCCTTCTGAACACATCACATGGGAGAAGTAGGGCTGTATCTTGTACAATTATGACTGATAATTATTTTTTTAATCATGGAAAACCAGCCAGACATGGGCAGAACCCCAAGTCTTTCAAGACATGCAAGTATCAGGACCCGCTGTTTTCTTAGTTCTCATTAGTAGCTGTTCCAGTAGATAAACATTATTTTATCTGAAGCATGTGAACTATGTACATTAATTTGTGTTGTCACTGTATCGATCATTAATATGGACTATTGATGTAACAATTGTGTTGTACTTATCCATAAATGTTAACAACACATTGCAGGTTACAAACTACTGAAAGAAGTTGATCCATTTAGCTCCAAAAGATGACTTGCACCACCTACAGGTCTTAGCAGACGGTTACAAGAGTCTAACTTTTTAAAAAGTTTTTTTTAAATAAACAGTCAGACATCCAATTCTACACTACTGGAATAAAAGTTAAGTCAAAATATCTCCTGTATAAGCAAAACAACAGGCTTACTTCAAAACTTTGTCATCTAACATCAGTCCAACTTGGGTAGTTCAGCCTAGTTTGATAAGAGTTTTGCACTGGTTAGTGTTAAATGGGGTCCTTTAACACGGCACACTTCAAGCTAAGAAATAATCAGTAATTCCCCTTGACTACAAAGGAAACGTAAGGGAACAGCAGTCCAGATATTTCCTTCTCAAGCCACCTATATGTTCTAAATTATAGTTTGTAATTCTTAAAACAGCCACAATATACTGTAAAGCATATAGAAAATAACTTGGCGACTGCATATCTTTCAAAAGATACTTGAATCTGTCAATACATCTCATCAGTCCCACTAACAGTTTCTCTTATTATATTTGTTCCTTTGGATTAAGAAAAGAGCAGTCCTACACACTTTGAAAAGCATTAAGATGAGGAGGATGGCACACCAACAGCTTACGAGTAAAATACATTGCTTTTATCCCAAAGAATTAAATTCATCAAAGCAGTACTTGAAAGCAAGATGCATTCAGACAGGCTTAGCTATGCTGCAGAATAAACTGAAGAAGTATGACTATAATATTTCAGTGTCCCTAAGTACAGGTTAAAACAAACTACTTTTAACAAATTGCAGACCCAATGATTCTGCGGCTGGGCAAGATACAGGAGGTTATCAATGGACCTCTTTCAACCTCGTAACACTTGGATACACCAACCTCCACAAGCTTCACCAAGAGCTTAACTCCATGTAATTACTTCCCTCCTCCTTTAAATACAGCTCTTCCTAAATGCAGTCAACATTAGCCATGCAGAATCGCAAGACAAAATGCAGAGATGATCGTAACCCTACAAAACAGGTCAAGCTACATTTTCTGCCTATAATTTAACCCCAGTGTTGTAAAGAAAACACCATCTCTCTTCCAAACTTGTAAGACAGTTAAAATTTCCACTCTTTACTTTGACATAAGAAAACTACAAATGGGAGTAATAACTTTCAAGATCTTAAAACCAACATAACCGTAAAATTAAAGTTGGTTCAGATCTTAGGATCCAAACCTGACATAAGTAGATGATCCTGGGTACATAATCAAGAATTAATGATGAAAGCTCTTGTAACACACGCAAGAGTAAGATACAGTATTCAATAAACCTGGGGACAAATATTTCAGTGTCACATTAGTAATATTTCAAGTGGGCTCTGATCAAGTAACTAGGCATCATTCTGCAAACTATTAGAAAAAGTAGAAAATTTTGTTGAAGAGAAGCAGAATAATTCAGTCTCCAGAAATCTAGAGAGAAAACTACTCTTTGCATAACTTGTTTAAACATCAGCATGCCCAAGCCAAAATTTTTTTGGTAGTAGTGATCTATGCTAAAGCCCAACACAATATACAGACATACTGTAATGCCTTATCTGAAATATGAGCCCTAGAGAAGGCATCAAAGTTAAATTCAGTTTTCTGGCCTCTTCTGCTTTGTTAAGATACACATTAACATACATTTTGCAATGCATTAACCTGCTGATCACTTGAGTTGCATGAAGTTTGGTTTTAGATTATAATATAGCTATATTTAGCATGAGTTTTAAAAAAGTGTAACTTTTGTTTGCACAGTGAACATAATCAAGGAATAAACACACAGAGTAGGAATATGGCCTTTGCAGTTTTCCTTTCTGAAGGACTGAGAATTATCTGTACGTTCCCAGCAGAGATTTGCCAGATTCTCTACGGTTTTATATCGACTGATACTGCTATCTACTGGTAGGGCAGACGCATGGTGACAGGCAGCAGTACGAGAGAGCAAGGAAGAAAAAAAACACTTGTACTTGGGCCACCATATCTAGGCAAGATACGGTAAGAGTGACCCACTGCAATCAAAGGTAGTTGTTTTTCTGGAAATAGGAAGAGGTCACTACTGCTTAATTGTTTGGGTGGTTTTGCTGATTTTTTTTTAATTGGTAAACTGGAAGTAACATCAAAATACTATTATACAGACTGAGTATTTGCAGTATGAATAATAGTTAGGAAGTGGCTGCTACACTGCCTTAGCCTGTAGCGTGAATCATTTGACCATCTAAACATATCATACCTCCTCTTTAAAGTGCCATAAATGTAAAAATTATTTAATCTAACAGTAACCTGTCAATCTGCATCTCAGGGAAAAATATTTTCTGCTCTGTTGAACTACAGTGTGTTACAGGATGGCACACAAAAAGCTCCAACCACCATTATTTCTTGGTTGTAGTATTTTGTGCTTAAAAAGAAAGAGCCTTCTGTAAAATAGTTATTAACTTGTATAAGTCTATCAAACACATAATACTGTTACCTTTCTTCAATTCTATTCTTGTCCATAAGTGGTTGTTTGATCCACTGATTAACTAGTCTTTGTCCTTGAGGGGTTCTGCATTTATTTAGTAAACCAGCTAGAGACTGTGCAGTATTAGCATTTTCCACAGAACTCTGGAAAGGAAGGTGGGGAAAGAAAGAAAGGAGAAAGAAAAAAAAAAAAAAAAAAAAAGAGTTAGTGACGTTATTGACACCCACTGAATGGCACTCAACTTTGCTACCTGAAACAGATCAGTGTTTTTTTGATATTCAACTTGGCACCCATCAAAAAAGGCAAATGAAACAGCACAGCATTAAAGCACTTAAATTCTGGTCCCTGGAACACGGCAAGCAAGGAATAGGTTTGTCTATTTTGAAACTAACCCTGACTGCACAAGAAAGTTAGAAGTGAACCTAGGTACTGGGCAGTTTGCCCTTAGAATAGGAAAAGTGGAAATATACCCAGATATTTGCTAGTTTGCCTTTCGTAAGGTTAAAAAGTAGGGGTCCTGTCCATCAAAAAAACCAGCAAGAAACAGGACTTGGATTGAAGGGTTTTGGTTGGAGATTTTTGGGAATGCTGGGGAGGGGGGGCGGCACAGGGACACAACAGAATGAGGCAATTGGAAAGAACAGTTATCCAAATTCTCTCAAGCTTCCCCAGATCATCTCAGGAGTACTCTAAACATCTCTAAGCTTACTCTGCTCAGATTATAGTTTACTATCTACAATTTAGGTTTAATATTAACTGGACTCAAGACAGCCTTTTGGGCATTTTTCTTTGGGGTTTGTTTGGTTTTTGCACAAACAGCTAGGAAGCAAAAATTTTGTTTAACATTGAAAAACAGCAATCAAGCTTGTTTCAACTCTTAACTTTGAAAATCTCAACCCTCTCTATCCAAGAGCACCTGCAAATAAAACAGCAGGCAAGCATTCAACCAGGAGCAGGTCTGGATGCCTGTAAACAACTGGGATGTGGAACTAGCATCACCACAACAGGAAAAAAATACAGTGAGAAGGTATACTGACACATTTAACCCCTGGAAAATCTAGTATCTCAAGTGGATGTGCCTATTTTCAGTGTTCGGACAGTATTACATATGAAAAACTTCTGAAACCAAGAAAGTGTCACAGAGTACATATATTATACACGAATAACCTACTTCAGCACATCCAAGTTGGAAGGCTAGAGTTTCATATAGTCAACTGCCTCTGCTGCACCATAAGAACTTTACCTATGTACCTCAAAAAGCAACTCTAATTACAAAATATTTTCCCCTTGCTTTAGTGCCTGCCCCAAAACTCCCCACAGACAGCCTGCCACACAGGCAACAACACAGCTTCCTGCTACACGGAAAGCCCCTTGTCCCAAAGCTCACAACAGCCCCTAAAGACAGACAGAGCAGTGTGTTTCCTATCACAAAATGCGTAACACCTGCAAGGACTTATACAGGAATGTAGCTAAGAGAGTGTTGAACTTCCTACAACACCTCCATAGGCTTGAGAAGAGAGATAATTCCTGCTTCATTTCCTACACAGTGGCACAGAATCAGGAAACAGAGAAGGAAAAAAGAAAAAAAAAAAATCAGAACATCTCTCTCCAGGGTTAACCAGCTCAAATGCTGCATATATGCTCTTTTTTCTTCCGGAAACCCCTCTAAGGTAAACAGGGGACCATATTTGTGATTTCTTCCTATAAATCTGAAACTCAAGCAGTTTAGCACCAAGCAAAGATCACTAAGCAGGGTTTACTAACATGAAAACAACAGAGAAAAGCTGATGATACAATACACCACTTCAAGTCCACATTTTCCTACAACTATAAAAAGGGGCAGAGCAGAAAAAGAGATGTGGTGGGAAGAATGGAGGAGACTGGTAACCTGCTTGGATTTATAGACAATGTGTGTAAAAAGTAAAATTGACACATGACATGGCCAGTTAGCATGCCACGGTGCTTTCAGAATGTTCTTAAGTACTGTCCTGGTCACTGCCCTGCCTGCTGCAGCCAGCGCTCCCTTCCCACCACCACCAGCAGTACTCCTGCCATATGCTCCCTGTTCCCCTAACACTAATTCAGGCTTCTATTCTCTTGCCCCAAAACAGCACTACTGTACAAAGCAACTGTGCTTTGCAGTTCCCTATCATACCACAAAACTACAGAACTCTCCCCCCGCCCTAGACCCCAAGTCTGCTCCTGCCAATGGAGATGTAAATTTCTCCAACTAAAACCAAGGAAAGAGAAAGCATTCCCCCCACTGCTTAGCCAGATTCCTCAGCAGCTACAACCATGAGGTACTTCTACAGCTCTTCCCATATCTGCATTCTACATAGACCCTTCTTTATGGCTACTTCCTACCTCCCTGATGATCTTCTCTTCTACGTCAAAAGTAAGCTAACAAAAAACAAAACCAAAAAAAGTGGTAACAGTGGCTAACAGTGTTTAAAACACACACTGTACAGGAATAGCTGAAAACAAAGCTAAAATGTAGAAGTTGCCATGAATCAGGATCCGGGGAGTTGTGATTGGGCAGTCAGGCTACTTATCAAGCAGCTAAACAAGTATATTGCAAAACACTTACCAATTCAAGTGCACATGTCTTACCTGAAAAAGGTTGAGGGCTTGAACAGCTGCATTATCTAGAACCATATATTGACTAAGATCAAAAGTAGTCAGTTCAAATTGTCCAAAATTAGATTCATCTGACAGCAACTCTAGAAACTTGATAATGGCTGACAAAGACGAAACAGCAACCTGAAGTTTAAAAAACAAAACAAAACACACCCCATTCTAGTTAGAAACACTCCTGAATTGGGCAGTATTTGATAAATGCGCCTAGAAAATTACAATCGGGCAATACTTTGAGCTATGCCAATTCCAGCAGAGCTATGAGAGACTCATCCTGTTTGACAAGACTTCATTTTCACAGGGATATTCTATGGCACTGCAGCATCTTTCTAGGTAGGTCCAAGAACAACGAACTACATGTTTGCATAATCTGATAAACAAAATGTAAAGTGCACGGCCCGCCAGCTTTCCAAAGCTGTTATCAGGACCTTTCTGGCTCAGGAACACAAACAAGTTATTGCAGATAAATGAGATATCATGAATCATCTCAGGACATGGTTTCAGGGTTAGTTTTCAGCCAGAACAAGGATCTGATCTGACTCACTGCATGGCGTTACAAATGCTAGTGCCAGCATAAAAGAGAGGCAGGAGCATGACTGACTTGTTCAGCTGCAACACACATAAAACACTTTTAACCTGTTATGAAATCACACGTTAAGGGAGAAAAACTCTGTACCTTACACCTGCAGTGAACATCAGCAGTGAAGGGCATTTTAAAACATATTTATCTCAAGCAAATTATCATTGTTTGCAGCTGAGAACAAACATGTTCAGTTCACATGCAGGCACTAAATCGTATGCTTGAGCCATAAGATGATATAAAACACAAAAATATTACCATAAACATTACTTTGTTTTCAAATACCAATTTTCCTCTCATGCAAAATAATCAAAGTATTGTATTTCAGTCCTTAGGCTAGATAGATTATGAATAGGAAGGACCTCTTGTGCACACTCAATTTGCTTACCAGAGTTTACTACTTTAAGTGAAGGGTTTTCTCATTTTTTTTCCAGGACCCCTGGAATCCAACTTTGACACAGACTCAAGCTGAACAGAACTGCTAAACACTTCAGCAAGAACGTAGCTTAATATACCACGGGTTGTACAATATACTTTCCCAGAAGTATGGAAATCCAGCATAAAACAGGACCAGTGAGGATGGAGGAGATCAGCTCAACAGGATAGAGGAGATTGCACAACAGGCGCACACACCACTCTGCTTCTAAAAAACAGGAGCACATTAAACATTGCTGTGTGCTCACCTGCTTTTCCATCTCTGGCAATGCTGCACTATTCATTTGTTCTTCTTTTTTTGATTTTAACAAGCGATTAAGATCCTGAACAATATCTTTCGTTGTGAAATCCGCCTTCTTCCTGTCTGTAATCAGGATTCCTCCCCTCTGAATGACCTGTTGTCCATAAACACAGAGTTATCAATTACTTCCAATGCTCAGGGGACAAATGTTCATCACACAGAAGCAAACCCTGAAGAGATATTTATTTCCTGCTAGGTTGCAGAGAGAAGAATGAGAGACAAGATTTTACCCTTAGAATGACTTTTGCTAATTAAAATGCAAATGAATCAACAGACGAATAATACATTTTGGATGTGTAAATCCAAACTTCAAGTTAACATATTGCTCCTTCATGTTTCCATAAATCACGGAGCCTAGCTCATAAGCTAGAACACCACTTTTTAGACAAAGGTTTGTCTAACTGTAAACCACAATGGTTGCCTTACTTGTCGTAGTTTTCCCATCTCTCCTGCAGTCTCTCCTCCTGGTAGCACACACTCCTTCGGTCCTAGTTGAACCAGTAGAGCTTCAAGGTTTGAGAACTGATCATTATCTGGAAACTCACAGACACTCAATTTTCTCAGCGTAGTGTCGACATACCCCACTCCTACTACTCTTTGTCCATCAGTAGTAGACAGCTTAACCCCCACAACCCCAATGGCCGTTGACATATCATTGTTGGCAAAGAGAACTTCCTCAAACTGGGCAAGATTTCCTGGAGAACCCTATTTAGAAAAGAAATACACTTTTAAAGAATTTGTATATACACACAGACTTTTTTTCCCCCCCCCTTAAAAAGGACAACAACTGATAAAACTAAGTACTGAACAGTCCATTAATATAAAACATAGAGCTGTTCTATTTTTTTAACCATTAAAATTTTACGTATCATCTACACAAAGTGAACTACTTCAGGTTTTCTTTATTTCTCAACCTATGGCAAAGATACAGAACAAGCTCTTCCAGCCTTAGAGCAATAGAAAATACAGGGGTATATAACAGACTGCACGATTTACCATCATACCACCAATGTCAGTCCCTGAAAATCCCAAAACTCCAAGCTGAGGGGCTCAAGAAAAAGTGATATTTATTCTTCTTTCATCTCACAATTATAAAGAAAGGTTGAAAATTGTACCTTGTATGCTAAATACCAGTCATTTTCTTTGATAGATTTACTCCCTGCTTTGTTCTTGTAAACTTCAACTCTGTAATGACGAACCAGAAGCAGATCTCTCACAAACGATTCAAAGTTCATTTTACTAAGCACAACACTTTCAAGCTTCTGAGTTCCTACAAAAAAGGAAAAGAGAAAATTCTGAGATACCTGAATTTGTTTATAAAGTTTATTTTCTGTAATCAAAATCCCCAAGAACAGCCTTCGGGAAGGACACTGTCCTAATATCAAAGTAAACATGTAAAACCATGAAACAACATAAAATCACAACGTTCAACTGGTTAATACTAAGAATGAAGAAAGCATACTCCATATCCAAATAAAAACAATGTTCATTTCCAAATTTCACTAAATCTATATGTACATAAACACAAAGAAATCTGTTCCTCTCACCCTTCCCCTCGTCTTAGAATATTCTTGATTTGGTTTTCTAATTAATGTTTCACACATTTTAATCTAATGAGTGGAGACAGCCTGCTACAGGTTTTCCTTCTGGATAACATCTTTTCTTTCCTGGATGAGCCACTTCTGTTGACAGAACAGGCTGTCACCCTGTTCGCACTCAGAAGATGGCAAGACACATGTGCCAAGATATTTCCCTTTTATCACAATATATACTGTAAAAACAACATATTCTCAAAAAAGTTTTAGATTTTACATTAAAACCTAACTTAGAAAGTGCCTAATTGACAAACTTCTTACTTCTGTTCCTGTAAGGGTGCAGGCAGATGATACAGTTGAGCAAATTTAATTCTGTACGGCTGCCAATAGGAGCAATACCACTTCTACCTCCCGTGCCACCTCTGGCAGCAGCCTACTCGCACAATAAGATAATTCCACTACTAACCAAACTGGGGTTTTGGGTGGGTACGTTAAGTTTTCTGCCAGATCGGCAAGTGTAATTAACTCAGACTGGTGTCGGATACATAAGAGCTAGATGACATAGATAGGGATTATCAATAGCAATAGATAGGGATTATCAAATCCCTCTTTTCAGTAGCATGCCTTCATCGCATTTGAGGCTCTTCCTCCCTTTACATGAAAGATGTTAAACAACAAGTTTCCACACCCATACGAATTTATGGGTTTATTTTAAACAGCATTTTTTCGTTTTCCTTCCTCTTCTTTCCTCAAATCTCTAGTAAGACTTTTAAAGTAAGCACAAGCAATAGATAGGGATTATCAAATCCCTCTTTTCAGTAGCATGCCTTCATCGCATTTGAGGCTCTTCCTCCCTTTACATGAAAGATGTTAAACAACAAGTTTCCACACCCATAAGAATTTATGGGTTTATTTTAAATAGCATTTTTTCGTTTTCCTTCCTCTTCTTTCCTCAAATCTCTAGTAAGACTTTTTTGGAGGCAGGTAAAAAACTAATTCCACATAATTAGGTTCTCTTTCCAGTGCAGAACTATCCAACAAAACACAATTTTTCTTTTTTTCAGCTTAGACTATGTAATACATTAGCAGGGAGTGGGCGGCAGCTGATGTGTGCTTTGAAATCATCCTGAAAGCAAAAAATGTAGTTTTATGCTGACTTTTAGTTGGATATGCTAGATAAGGCTTTAAAGGTTTTAAAACCAGAGCTGATAGTCATAGGCTTACATCTGTGAAATGATCGCTGTTAAATGGAATACAAAAATAATACTCATGCATATGTTTCTAGTCTGGAAGACATATCAAATTCTATGCTTGAAACTTGTAGCTTGTCAAGCTCTACAACTTCTCCACAAGTTGTTTTTTTGTGAGGGTTTTTTTGTGGTTTTGGGGAGGGGTTTGGGGTTTTTTAGCTTTTTTTACATATTAGCTCATCACTTGCAATAGAAAGTGAAAAGCATGAGAGAATGTCATTCTCTTTTAATGCCACTGCACACACACACAAAAAATTCATTCATAACAAACAGCTTTATTTTGCGAAGTGTGAGCCAATAACTCTGCAACATTACGTTCCTCGAGATTAAGGATAATACTAAGGTTTGCCTCTTCTGACAAAATAAATTTATCTCGATGCTGTTATTTCTAACATCTGCAAGCTCCACCGTCTTACACCAAGAGATAAATAAAAAGCAACAGGGGGTGGATGGAAGAGAAAACCTTATGCAATACATAATTAAATGTTATTTACGTCTGCAGGCCATCGTTAGTCAAGCGTGATGTTAGCATTGTTTGCCTATCACCTGCACTATAGAAGCGTATGAGCCCCGTCCTCAGTTATCACAGAAAATATCATGCAATCATGTTCACAAATGGAAATCTACCGATGCCCTGGAAAAATGTTAACAACTGCTGTTAGCCTATGCAACCTGTTGTGTTCAACTAACTGCCCACATCTGACAGTCCTGCAGTATGAGCTTCTGTGACGAGACGTGCACACTCAGAACCGTGCTTTCTGCTGTAGCTACCTTCTCACGTCTGTACACCCACATCTGCCACACGCAGCCTACTCAGACTGGCTACTAATTACCATTTCAAAGCTGCGAGAGGCTGAGGAAGAAAGATTTGCATTCAGTTATGCTTGCTTCCAAGCCGCAATGACTCACAGGGGAGGTTAAAATCCAGAGACCGCTTAATATCTCCCTTCTACCTTCATCAGCACAGCGAGCAGCAGCAGGCACCCTCAGCAACACCGGCCAGCAGCTACACCGTGACGCAGAACCGCGGCACCTCGCGCCCTGACATGGTCCCCGTCTTTGAAAAATGACGCCACGGAGAACTTAAGCCCCAGGAAGCCACCAAACACCACGACGGAACGCGAAAACACGCAGCGTCCCGACCCGAGTGACACGCCGGAGGCCTTGCCCTTGCTGCTGCGCCGGCACC